CGATCTTGATTTTTCTTGCTATGATGCATGGCTTGTCTTTGTAGCTTAGGTGTTGCAGTCAATCTTGTTTTGAACAAGTAAGAAGAACATGATCAGGAATAAAAGACCACATTTCTTTAGGAAGAGATTGTTCAATAGTGCTTAGGCAAACATGAGTTCAATGCCTGCAACGTGGAGCCTCAAACACACTCTGTAACTTGAGGCCAGGCATCCAAAGAGGAAATCCACTTGTTACATGATAGCTGGTCCTCCAGAGTCACTGCTCTGCAGGAACTGCAGCTGTGTAGTTGTAGTGTTCCAATAAAGTACAGCTTTGAACGTTTAAGGAAAGCAAAGACTTCAGATGAAGAGCTCTGCAGGGGCTACATTAAGAAGCACTGCTAAGGGCCACTGGAGTTGTGTGGAGTCCTGCAAGATGTTCACTGTAAGAACAGTTTGTGGTGATTGGGAATGGGTTTGCGGGTGACCCTTATCCCTAGTGGGCTTCAGCTGTGTAGGATAGTTGAACAATACGGAAGGCAAAGAGACATGGAATGCTGTGTACTGACAAATCACCAAAGGGTAGAGAGGGCACACAGGTGTAATGCATGAAAGATGAAGGGTGTAAAGTGTACTGAAATAATGTGCTGATGCTTAGAACCTTCTTTGGAGTCAGTAGTACCTCTACCATCATGTAGCCTCTGGAATGTCTGTCACTAGCTTTAGAAATGCTGTTGACTGATAAGCACATGTGCACAAAATCTGTTTCTTCCTATTTGCCAAGCTTGTCCCTTGTTAGGTGTCTTTGGAAATTTTGAAGTCTTGTTCAGGATTTCAGACTCTCAAGTTATGTAAAATCTTCTTACAGTGCCTTATTTCTCCCTGTCTGCTGTAGAAGTAACATAAGGAATCTCATCTCTTTTCCTCCCAGCTACTGCTGAACTTGAAACTGGATGTACTGGATCTTCCAAAAACCTTCATGTGGACCAGGATCCCCTTTGCAGAGCAATAGAAGAGTACTGTGATGTTTTAACCAAAGATTACATGATTTGAATGAAATGCTGTGGAAAGGCTCTGAACATTTTTTGCTTTTATATAGCATCTATGTTTTCCCTTCTCCACAGTTCAGATGTGAAAACTTGTTCATTGCAGTCTGAATATAAACTATAATAAATGTGTGTCAAGCACAGTGCACTCATCTGTTGGGTTTTTTCTGCATAGCTGGCTTCTTTTGCACTCACAGTAAGAACCCTATTCACTTTTTCGGACCAGCAGATTGACTGATCTGCATTCTTGAACTTGACAAAACCGTCAAAAATGTTTCCTCTTACAGTAGCTTCATTATGTTGCATCACTCATGTTATGTGTTTTAACGAAAGTGTTCCCTTTGTTCTTTCTCTTCCTTTCTCTTAATGTGTTTGAAATGTTTCCAGTGTTATTTTCATGCTTAGAGACATGTTCAAGACCTGGAAGTTGAGAAAAAACACCATTCTCAGGTCTAGCTGGGACTTAGATATCTATGGAAGTCCACCTAACCAGTCCTCATCTCCTCAAATTCATGAAGGCAGGCATTAGAACTTTGAGACATCGCTCTCCACACATACACCAAAGTACAGTTGGCAAAAAGTGCATTAAAATAATGTTCTGCATCCTCTCCAGGTGATCCATGTGAAAGTTACTTATATTAGTGAATGTATAGGTTGTAAATCCCAAATGCCCTTTGGAGGCTACCAAATTTAATTGAACAGTTCATTGCATGAGTTCTTCACATAATTGAGAACGAGACCTCTGCTAAGGAGCAACAGTACTGTAAACTCTAAGTAAAGGCAAATGATGTAAAAAGTAGCAGTAAACTCTGTGATGCCATGTAAGCTGATGAGAACTGGCTGCTTAGCAATTTAAACAAGGACTATGCAGTATAAGTAAATCACTTACATATGTGTTTTGATTTTTGATTTAGCACTGATTTCTTTTTGTCTGATTCTGGTTTGATTTTAAACAAGTATGCATAATTATTTCAGAAAGTCAGTCTTTCAAGAAATTGAAACTAATTTGAACTTGAAAAAAAGGTTAATAATCAGTATGTGAGGGTCACAGAAAAACCATTTACCAACTGAAGCTTTCAGGGGACATTTCTGGGAACAATCACAATCATGGTTCTGTCCCTCAGTGTCTTTTGAAAACCATGTCTAAGCTAATTTCAGACTCAAATTTATCAGTATCTGAAAAGACAGCTGGCACAAACTGTAAGCACAACAAAACATTTCATCAGACCACAAAGTGAATAATGTCATCATTAACTTTCTGCCTACTCTCTTGTTTGTATAATTGTTCACTGCTGGATGAAGGCTCCCATACCTCTCCATCAGAATGTTTCTCACACATTCTCTGCACTCAAGCACAGCTCTGAGCAGGGCTGATATTTGCACTGCAGACTCAGAATAATTGATGCGTTAAGCTCATTGGGGATGCACCAAGCCCAAACATAAGCTAACCCTACAAAGCATTTTAGCTCAAGTTATTTCACTGCCATTATTGGAATTGCTGATAGACTCTCCATTGAAGAGGAATGTACAGTCTTAATGCAGTTGGATTCTGAACATTCAGGACTTTTCAGAAGGAATAAAATTGGAAAGAAAGATTAGTTCTGCCATCATTGCTGCCATGAATAAAACTTTCTACTTGATTGTTTGGCATTGTTCTGCCTAATTTAGCCCAGGGTATCCCAAATATTGTCTACCTGAGTAGGCAGCCCAGGACTGTGCTTTCAGGACCTGACATTTTGTGGTATCCTAGAGAAAGTAGCCCAGGACTGCATTCTTGGGACCCAAGAGCACTACTCAACAACAGCAAAAACACCTCTACACTATCATCATTGTGTTCAAAACAAATCCAAAACACAGTCCCATGCCAGTCACTGTGAAGAAAATTAACTCTACCACAGCTCTAACCAGCACAATAACACTCTGATGCTTTGTCTGTTGCTGAGCAGTACTTATCAGAAGTCAGGGAGTTTTCAATGTCTCATGTCTCAACCAGTGAGGAGATGCACAAAAAGCTGGGAGGAGACATAGCTAGGACAGCTTACCCAAACTGGCCAAAGGGATATTCCACACCATGGAAACTGGGTCAAGTGAAACAGGATGGGCATCAATCAGTGGGTGGTGAGCAACTGTATTGTGGCTCACTTGTTCCTTATGGGTTTAATTTTTCCTTTTTTAGAAATTACAATTCTTACCTTTTTGTTTGTATCAATTCTTAAACTGCTCTTACCTGAACCCACAAGTCAGGATTTTTTTTTTTTTGTTGTTAATTTTTCTAATTCTCTTCCCCATCCCACTGGAGTGGGGTGGGGTGGTGGTGTATATGCAGGGGGTAGTGATCACACAGCTGTGTGATACCTCAGTTTTGGTCTGAGATTAAGCCACAGCATTTGGGAATTGAAATAAGTTCTCAATGGACTGTAGTCCTACTGTCAGCAGATATTTATAATTTCCAAGTAGTTTAATAAAGAGAAGGAAGACAAAGGTCTTATTTTGCATTTTTCTCAACTAAAATGAACCAAAACTAACAAATGCAATTGCGACCTACCTGACTCCATAATAAGACAGAGTTCATTTCCATGATAACTGTATATTGGTAGCCTAGAAAGTGTGAGCCAGTGAATTTGTGTGGTTCTGAATATATGAATAAGCTTCTTCCGAATCATAGTATCACAGAAGATTCTGAGTTGGAAGGGACCCACAAGGATGGATCATCAAGTCCAACTCTTAAGTGAATGGCCCATAAAAGGATTGAACCTATAACCTTGGTGGTGTTAGCACCAATCTCATAGAGTAACTCTTCTACTGTATTGAAAAGAAAATAAAATCTTGTTCATGACTTAGAGGAAGCCAAAATAAATCCCTTCTACATTCTGAATGGAAAGCTAGCTGTTAATCCTACCATGTGCATAGGATATGGTGTGTCAGGCTGGGCTGGGAGCAAGTAAAACTGTCCCCACTTAACTCAGCAACTATCCAATGACTCTGGACGGCTCCAGAGGTGGCACACCAGAGCACCCCCACAGCTGCAGGTCTGCCCTTACAGCAAAAGCTGCTGAAGTCACTGTCTGCAGAATGTGTTTTAACTACCCCGTCCCTTCAAAGCCTCAGAGTCGGCATTACTGAGACATGCAATCTTCCAGGCAGCTTTTCTAAGCTGTACCACTCCTATAAATAGAGCAGTTGCAAAGCAGGTGTACTAAACCAGATTTTTAGCAGCATATTGCTATCAGCCCAAGTCTCTACTGACACTTCCTTCCTGGTAGACAAAAACCACCAGGTGTCTAATAGGGGAATTAGCCATATTGGCAAAGGGGAATTTCAGACTAACATTTTATACTTCAGCTGTACAAAGACTGTGAGCTAAATTATCCGGCTACAGTGAATCATGTTGAAGGAAAAGTGTACCTATAGCAGACTAATCCAAATACCAGTGCTTATGCAACATCTAAGTCACATTTAAGCCCTATTTGGAAATCTTCCTGTGGTACACAAGTCTTGTAATGAATCAAGAATTCGGGTACAGGAATGAAACATTTCAAACAGACAGGAAAAGAAACAGCACTGCTATTAGATGATACTGAGAAAACTACAGATAAACATAGAGAACACTGAACAGGAAAAGCAACATAATAGGAAATACCAAAATTTAAAAAAAACCCCAAACCTAAATCCAAAAAGGAACTATAAAAATGAAATTTAAAATAGACATGTATCAAAACTAAAAGCATACATTTTGATATCTTCAACAGCTCCCAGAGCCAACACAACTAAAGAAGTAGTATTGATAAACAGCTGACAGTTGCTTTAGTGACAGAGACTAGCTATTTCTTTTGCATCTTTCTTGGCTAGTAAGGAATGAACAGTTCCTGTTGTACCCATATGACTCTATGACCCCATCAGCATCCCCTTATCTTCAAAAACATGAAACCAAATTTTAGCCTATTCAGCTATCAAAGTCACCAACTGAAACTGACATTGTAATCACAGGGGGTTTTATTGATAACATTCAGAAATATTTGACATAGAATTAGGCTCTCCTGGTCTTAGTTGGAGAGTATCCTGTAAAAACAAAACTATTTGTGGCTGAGCATGTGTCCGCTTGAAAAGCTGAGATTAAATACTTCCTCCTGAAGAGCATAGAGATGACTCATGTTTATCCCATGTTGCCATCTTGTAAATAAAAACTTGCCTTTCTTCTAAGATGGCTGGAAGAAAACAAATATATCCAGTTAAAAAAATGCATTTTGCTCTCCATTGTTCTATTAAATGGTCAGGCTGACTACAGAGACACTCTCAAAATGGTTACTAATAGTTGTTTCCTAATACTCATAGAAATATAGGTTCTGCAACCGGAATCTACTTAGCTGTGGTTTCAGCAAAACAGTATTTTCCCATCTTTTTAAAATTATTGTTATTATTATTTTGGCTCTTCTTTCTAGACATCAGGTCTGAAAAAACAGAACACTGCTAATACACTGAGAATCAACTAAAGAAAGTATCTGTACAACAACCACCTCAGTACAAAAGAATACTGTCAGAAGAACATTTGATGAAGCTGTGAAGCTTCATTCTGGAAAGGAAAATAAAGATTTTAATACATGTACCATTCTTAGTGATGAAGGAAAATATTTCAAAGGGCTGAATCACCTCCCTAAAAAGTGGTAATATATTCCTGTCCAGTTGCAATAAGTATTTTTACTGCTCATTATAGTGAAATGCATTCCTCTGATTGAATTAGGTTTTGTTTGCCATCTGTTTTTCAGAAATTCATATGCAAAAAGTAGTTTCTAAAGATAGGAAGAAATGTTCTGGCAGGGTGTTCCATTAGCCAAATACCCTAGGGTATACTGTACCATGGCATCACCCCCAAATTATATGGTATCTAAACCACTGGCATCTGCTACCAGTGGCATCACTGTAGCCGTACAATATTAATTATTCCAAACTTACCAAATATTTTGCTTTCTGCACTACATTTTCATACAGGCTGCTCACATGCATGTTTATATTTCTCCGTGTCAGTGCCAACTCAGCCCCATTTACTAGAAGGCAACTTTCTGAGTCTGCCACGGGTGTTAGGGAAACGTCCCAGTCTGAGCATCCACAGAACTCTTACAGTCACATACCCCGAAGGTGTCACAGGGACAAAGGCTCCCACTGCTGGGAGCGCAGCCCGGGCACGGCGGGCGGCTCCAGCGAGGCGAGGGATCTCCCCACACCCCGGCTCTCACACGGTCAGACCAGGCTTCCTCACCGGTTCGACCCCGGTTTCCCATAGCGGAATCTCAGCTATCTCGTTCCATAAAGCAATTTATTCCTGTGCAGCAACACAGAAATATCTTGAGCTGGTGCCCCTGAGTAAAGCACCAACATAAAGAACCTATGGGCTTCTACAGCCTCACAGTCGTCCCCTGAGCCAGTCTCGCTCTTCCGCCCGAGTCTTCGGCTCTTGTCCCACTCTCCATGTTCAACAACTACGCTGGCGTCACCGCTCTCCATCTCCTCTGTTACCCAAAAAGTCGGCAATTCCAGGCTCCTGCTGTGTCTCCCAGAGTCTGTTCACCTGGCTAGTGTCACCCATCTCCGCGCCCTTGGATATCCCGAAGGTTTGCAGTTCACGGCCACTTGTCTCGGGCTCCCACCCAAAGCTTAACCTGCATTTCAGTCGGCAGCTGAAATGCGGGTTAAGCTACCCAGACCAGACGCATTCCTCAGCATCTGGTCAGGCACGTCAGTAGATGATGTGTGAAGCTCCGCTCCATCCCCTTCCTCTTGTATTAATCCTTACTGTCTGTTCTCATCACCATTCACCCAAGCCCGACAGCAGCACCCACGCAGCACTAACTGCCCGGGGAAATTAATTCCATCCGAGAGCGACTCCATCCCTAAATCCCCGCCTCCCGCGGCCGCGCCTGCGCGTGCCCGCCCGCGCCTGCGCGGAGCTCGCGGCGCGCGGGGCGGCGGGGAGAGGCGCCGGCTCTGCCCCGGGGTTCCTCCG